GTTAGGCTTACCTAGTCGTACAGACTAGGTGCCGTCACGACAGTTCACGGAGAGTGAACTTGGGCCGTGACAAGTTGGTATCAGAGCTCTAGGTTCATAGGAGTCATGAATCACAAGCTAGTTTAATAGAGTCTCGCAGATCGGTAAGGAGACGTTTGTACTTATCTACGAGAGGCTATGTAACTGTTAGGAAAATTTCCACTTCATTTGATTTTCTTGTCGTGCGAGATTTTGATATCACAATCCTAAACTTCCGTCTTCTATTCTCTCACAGATGGTGAGGACACGTGCTACCCGAGATGATCAGGCACTCGCGCCCCCTACTGGAGCCGTCAGAGGCCAGGGCCAGGGTAGAGGCCAAGGACGCGCACGTGGTGGAGCTAGAGCACCCGCGCGAGGTGCCACCAGCAATTCCAGCCGGAGTCTAGACACCTCATACGCCTGCTACTACTACTCCAGGAGACTCTGGCGCAGTTTATGACTGCGTACACTACTCTAGCTCAGGCAGGGTTGCTTCCCCTTGCTGCAGCTACATCTCAGGCCGGGGGAGGAGCACAGACTCCCGCTGCCCGCACTCCTGAGCAGCGAGTGCATGTTGATCAGGTCCTAGAGATTATTCCTCTGCAGCCGGTAGCCCCAACTCAACCCGAGGAGAGGGCCGTAGCTTCAGAGGAGGAGTAGAAGAGGCTTGAGAGGTTCAAGAAGTATCAGCCTCCTACATTTAGCGGACTAGCCTCAGATGATGCTCTTGGATTTCTAGAGGAGAGCTATCGTATCCTCCGTACCATGGGTATATTAGGATCGAGCAGGGTTTCCTTCACTACCTTTCAGCTTCGAGGAGCCGCCTATTAGTGGTGGCGTGCTTATGAGTTAGACAGTCCGGATGAGGCAGCTTCCCTGACTTGGGCTCAGTTTTTAGATATGTGCACGAGAGAGTATGTTCCTCAGAGTCTCAGGGATGCTTGGCGCGCAGAGTTTGAGCGTTTTAGCCAGGGTACTATGACTGTCTCGGAGTATGCTGTCCGTTTCACCGACTTGGCTAGACATGCACCAGCTTTGGTTTCTACTGTTCGCGAGAAGCTTCGCCGGTTTATTGAGTGGCTTATTCCCAGCATCAGTTCTAGCATGGCTCATGAGTTGGAGATGGATATTTCTTATAAGCAGGTGGTGAGCATTTCTAGAAGGATTGAGGGTATGCATGCTAGGGATAGAGAGGAGAGGGAGGCCAAGAGGTCTCGAGTGTCGGGCCATTATTTTGGTGCCCGTGCCCCAGTTGCAGGTCCTCATGGTAGGGGTTATATGATTCACCCTGTTCATTCAGCTCTTCCAGCAGCCAGTGGTATTCCAGCTCCTCCCAGACCTCAAGAGCCTTATTATGCGCCACCAGTATCTAGTGCACCTCCTGCACGGCGTGCTTCCAGTGGTCCGAGCAGCAGACCTTGCTCGAGCCACTCATAGCCGCCACATCCTCCCAGAGCTTGGTTTGAGTGTGGTGACACACGCCATATGGTGAGGGATTTCCCCAGACTTAGGAGGGGTGCACCTCCATAGACTTCTCAGCCACAGCATGCCCCGCAGAGTTCTCAGGCTATGATCACAGCACCAGTTGCTACCCCACCTGCTCAACCAGCTAGAGGTGGAGGTCGGGGAGGAAGAGGTCGCCCTTGAGGGGGAGGCCAAGCTATATACTATGCCCTCCCTGCCCGTACCGAGGCTGTCGCCTCGATTCTGTCATCACAGGTACTATCCTGGTCTGTCATAGAGATGCACCGGTTCTATTCGATCCAGGCTGCACTTATTCTAATGTGTCCTCTTATTTTACCCCGTATTTGGGCGTATCCTGGGATTCTTTAAGTTCTCCTGTTTATGTTTCTACTCCTATTGGAGATTCTCTTATTGTGGACCACGTTTACCGATCGTGTTTGATTGCTCTTAGTGGTTTTGAGACTAGAGCCGATTTGCTATTGCTCAGCATGGTAGACTTTGATGCTATTCTGGGCATGGACTGGTTGTCGCCCCATTATGCTATTCTTGATTGTCACGCAAAAACCATGATGTTGGCTATGCCAGGTGTACCGCGAGTAGAGTGGAGGGGTACCTTAGATCATACTTCCAGTAGAGTTATTTCATTCCTTAAGGCTCAGCATATGGTTGAGAAGGGTTGTGACGCGTATCTAGCTTATGTGAGAGATGTCAGTATTGATACCCCTACAGTTGATTCAGCCCCAGTAGTACAGGATTTCTCTGATGTGTTTCCAGCTGACCTTCCGGGCTTGCCGCCTGATATTAGGCTATATAGATGATATTTACACCTTAATATTACCATGCTTTATTGTTGTTTTATAGGCAAATTGATAAGAAAATGCTCTAATTGGTGTTCTTTTGCTTTGCAGGGAATAATCTAAGTGAGGAAGCACTACTGAGTGTTTTGGAGTCAATAATGTGAAGAAAACGCCCAATCAAGAAGCACCCGAGCATAAAGAAGCAAAAATGGACTGAGGTGAAATCCATCGCGACCGCGATGGTACAGCGGTTGAACCGCGGCAAACAATTATGCGAGCCAGCATGTTCAGACTTCACCGCGGTCTTGCGGTGAACTGTTACATTGCCAGAAAATTGGGGACCAAAGTGTGTGATGCGGGGAAAACTTGTTCCAAACCCTTATAAACTTTAGAAGCTCGCCCAAGACATAATTAAGCTTGTTTTTAGACAACTTTGGATGCAAGAACAAGTGTGAGAAGATCAACCAAAAATTAGAGTTTTTCTATCTCCTTTTTATTCTTCCAATTATACATTATGAACAACTTTGTAGTTTTATCTTATTTTGTTATGAGTAGCTAAACAATTATCTAGGGTTGATGGAACCAATTGTTGGTTGAAGTTTTGACTCAAATTGTTATAATTGAGCCGAATTTATTATATGATTGTTGAACTACGCTTTGTATGGTGATTAATTGAATAGGCCCTTGATTAATCGTTTCTAATTACCTCATATTGCTTGAGAAAGAATATTAGGTTAGACTACTGTTGAACAACACCACTTTTGGGTAATTGAAGAGATTCATTACTTGAACTTAAAAGTGGGTTTAGAGATAACGAAACTTTGGTGGGATAAATTAGAGCTGCACATATTGTCGGCTAGGGTAGTTCGAGAGAATACTCTAGTAAATTATCATAGTTGATCGAGAGATAATTACGATAACCTCTAGCTCTTAACCTTCATAGAGTAGTACGGCGAGATTATAGCAAACGATTTAAGATCTAAACTAGCAATTGGGGAAATCACTGCCCTAGACCTTTTTACCATTGAATTATCTTTAATCTAGCATATTGTTATTTCTGATATTATTTGAAGGAGTTAATCAAAAACCCAAGATTGATAGATAAAAATCTGCATCTAGAAATTGGTTGAGTTGATAATAGCATTGCCAAAGAGTTGTTATAGATAGGTTAGTTCCCTGAGGATTCAACTCCGGACTTAAAATCGGATTATATTTGCAACGACCGCTTTGTCTTTTAGAAGGCATAGTTGGGCGTGATCAAATTTTGGATCGTTGCCGAGGATCTAACGGTGTTATTTATTACAACATAGATGTAGTGTTAGAATTATTAGTTTAAATCAATTTTCGAAGGTGTTAACCAATCTTTTCATTGATATTTCTCACGTTTGAACTCTTGTGGAATTCAGGTGTATGCCTAGAAATTCTTCGAGGATTGGAGAACTGCTAAAAGGACTCTCAGACCCCGAGAAACCATTCTGGGCATTGAACCGTGCCAACAAGAGGATCCAACAATCACAACAACCACACCAGCTTGAATTTGACATGGGTGACGTAGAAAATGTCAACGGAAACGTTGGGGATGCGCCAGACGCCCCAAACGTCAGAGTAGTGGCACCTCTTATGCCAGAAGCTACACTTTATGATTGGGGACAGCCTACAGCAGACAACCTGGCTACTGCCATAGCTGTCCCCCCAAGTCAATCGGAGACATTCCAGATCACCAACAACATGCTGCATCTTTTGCAGAATAAGGGATTGTTCTCTGGGTCACACATTGAAGACCCTCAGCAACACTTGAAAAAATTTCTGTCGATTTGTGTGACCCAAAGGCAGCCTAATGTGACCCTAGAAGCTATCAAGCTGTTATTGTTCGCGTTCTCTGTGACTGAGGAAGCTCAGACTTGGTTGAATTCGCTCCCTATAAATTTCATTGTCACCTGGGAGGAATTAGTCAAGCAGTTCCTGCATAAGTTCTACCCGCCCAATAAGACTGTAAGACAGATTGATGAAATATTGCAATACAAGCAGCAGCCGACTGAGACCTTGCATGAAACTTGGGAAAGATTCAAATGGATGCTAGTGAAGTGTCCTCACTATGGTATTCCAGACCAGATGCTCGGCCAGAGGTCCTACATGGGGTTAGCTGACAATCTAAAGGCCAATGTGGATGCTTCAGCTGGAAGTGCATTTCTGAGTAAGACATTCACTGAGTGCAAAGTCCTTCTGGACAAGATGTCCCAGAATTTGGGGTGGATGACTAGAGGTACAACACTGGCACCCATAGTACATTCAGTTCCTCTTGACCCAAATAATTTGCATGCAGAGAACATAGCCACACTCATGACTCAGATGAGTATATTGACAAAGAAGATTGAGGAGATGGGTACAAAACAGGTGCATATTGTTGACACAACAAATGGAGGACTGTGTACACACTGTGTTAATTAGTCTTATATGTGTTCATGGAGTGGAGAAGGTGACAATCAAGGGGTAAGAGAAGATATGAATTATGTCAACAACTTTGGGGGTCAGAGACAAGGAGGACAGCAGTGGAGACCGGCACCAAATCAGCAATACAGACCAAACATGCCACAGCCTGGAGGTATGCAACCCCAAGGCCAAATGTTTCCAGTACCATATCAGAGACAACAGGGCTATCCACAGTAAAATCAGCAATAGTTGACATATCAGCCACCTCCTCAGCAACAAGATAACAACATGTTAGAGATCAGGAGTATGCTTCAACAACTCATTGGAACAAATGGTAAGATGCAGGAAAAGTTGGCAGTGCATGATTCAGCAATAAAGAACATTGAAACTCCGTTGGGGCAGTTGTCTATGGCCTTAAACAACCGCCCCCAGGGAACATTGCCAGCGGACACAAATATTAATCCCAAGGAGCAAAACATGAATCAGCTTATTGCAGTAAGTCTCCGGAACGGGAGAGATTTAGACAGAGAGCAGGAGATTGCAAAAGCATGCAAAGAGACTACGCTAGCCACTCTAGTTCCATTAGAGGTATACGAACTAGCAGAACTTATTGAAGTGGTGGTTGAACAGGGTCGGGATGAAAAGGGTAAGGCTAAGGTGAGTGAACAAGCTGCAGAACAGGTGGTACCTCTTGTGCCACAGAACCCCAACAGAGAGAAGCCAGCAAACAGTGCGCAAAGGGTGATACCTGCACCATTCCTTCAGAGACTGGTAAAACAAAAGAAGGAAGATCAATACAGGAAATTCATGGAGATGCTGCGTCAAATTCAGTTGAATATTCCTCTAATGGATGCTTTGAGGGAGATGCCAAGCTATGCAAAGATGATGAAAGATCTAATGTCAAGGAAGTTTAATTTTCAGGACCTATCCACAGTAACTCTGACTCAGACATGCAGTGCAGTAATGACAAGACCCATGGCTCAAAAGATGTCTGACCCAGGTACCTTTACTATTCAGTGCACCATTGGAAGTTATGCCTTTGCAAAGGCATTATGTGACTTAGGAGCCAGCATAAATTTGATGCCTCTGGCCATATACACCAAATTGGGCATTGGCAGAGCTAGACCGACTTCGATGCTGCTGCAACTGGCTGACCGCACGGTTAAAAGACCAACTGGGATTCTTGATGATGTGCTGGTACAAGTGGGGAAGTTTGTGTTCCCTGCAGATTTTGTTATTCTATATTGTCAGGTAGATGAGGAGATACCTATCATTTTAGGGAGGCCATTCTTAGCCACTGGGAGAGAACTGATCGATTGGAAAACTGGGGAATTAAAAATGAGGCTGAACGATGAAGAAGTCATATTAAACGTTCAGCAATCCATGATGAGACCCAGTGAATATACTAATTGCTCCCTAGTGGAAGCAGTGGATGTGATCCAACACGAAGATGATGTGACCATGACTGCTAAAGATCCATTGGAGGCATGCCTGACAAATTTAGAGGAGATGGATGGTGAAGGGTTGGCCGAGTGGGTCATGGCACTTGAAGGCTAAGGATTCTGGAAAAGGGAACCTCAGTTCGAGTCCCTTGAGTTAGAAAAAAGGGCTACACCTCCAGCAAAACCATCAGTAGAGGAACCACCCAAACTAGAGCTGAAATAGCTCCCAGCTCACCTCAGGTACGTTTTCTTAGGGCCTGATTCTACTTTGCCTATTAATATATCATCCGGTTTGCTAGATGTGCAGGTAGAGCAGCTCCTACAGGTACTACAGGAATGTAAGACTGCCATTGGTTGGACCATGGTAGACATAAAGGGTATCAGCCCAGCCTTCTGTATGCACAAGATTCTCTTGGAAGAAGGGCACAAGCCTTCCAGAGAACATCAACGAAGGCTGAACCCGAATATGAAAGAGGTGGTGAAGAAGGAAGTGATCAAATGGTTAGATGCGGGAATCATCTTCCCCATCTCTGACAGCAATCGAGTCAGCCCTGTTCAATGTGTGCCGAAAAAGGGAGGAATGATTGTCGTACAAAATGAAAACAACGAGTTGATCTCAACTCGTACATTCACGGGATGGCGGATTTGCGTGGATTATCGGAAATTGAACACAGCCACCCGGAAGGACCACTTCCCCGTTCCATTCATTGACCGAATGTTTGACAGACTGGCCGGGCGATCGCACTTTTGTTTCCTAGATGGATATTCGGAGTACAATCAGATCTCAATAGCCCCCGAAGATAGAGAGAAAACACCATTCACTTGTCCATATGTCATCTACGCCTTTTGGAGAATGCCTTTTGGGCTTTGCAATGCACCGGCGACATTTCAACGGTGCATGTTAGCCATTTTTACAGACATGGTGGATGACATTATGGAGGTTTTATGGATGATTTCTCCGTGGTGGGGGATTCACTCGAGGACTGTCTTCACAACTTAAGAAGAGTGCTCAAAAGATGTGTGGAGACAAATTTAGTGTTGAACTGGGAGAAGTGCCATTTTATGGTACAAGAAGGGATAGTCCTGGGGCATCGAGTGTCCAACACGGGAATTGAGGTTGACCATGCTAAGGTTGACGTGATTGAGAAGTTGCCATCGCATACTTCAGTCAAGGCAGTGAGAAGTTTCCTTGGGCACGCCAGGTTCTATAGGCGATTCATAAAAGATTCCTCCAAGATTGCTAACCCGTTTTGTAAACTCCTTGAAAAGGATCACCCCTTTGTGTTTTCTAATGATTGTAGTATGGGAGCAACCATTTGAGCTCATGTGCGATGCAAGTGACTATGCCATAGGAGCAGTCTTAGGGCAGTGAAAAGATAAACTCATGCACCCGATTTACTATGCAAGCAGAACGCTAAGTGGTACACAACTCAATTACACCGTGACGGAGAAGGAGATATTGGCTGTCGTTTCTGCATTTGACAAATTCAGGTCATACTTGATTGGCTCGAAAGTTATTGTTTGCACTGACGATGCAGCAATCAGGTACCTGATAGAAAAGAAGGAGTCAAAGCCACGCTTAATTCGCTGGGTTCTTCTGTTACAAGAATTCAATTTGGAGATACGTGACAGAAAAGGGACAGAGAACCAAGTAGCTGACCACCTCTCAAGGTTGGAAGGAGCTGAAAAGAAGGTAGAGGTCGAGGACATAACAGAGATATTCTCAGATGAACAATTACTAGCAATGACAATGGAGGAGGTACCGTGGTATGCTGACATTGCTAATTATTTAGCAAGTGGTATTGTACCTCATGAACTCTCCTCTATTCAAAAGAAAATGTTCTTTCGTGATTGTCGGTCTTATTATTAGGATGAACCTCTATTGTTTAAAATCTGTGTAGATAACATGATCCGGCGGTGTATCCCCGAGAAATATCAAAATTCTATTTTGCAGGCTTGCCATGCTTCACCATATGGTGGACACTTTGGAGGAATTCGCACAACAGCTAAGGTGTTGGAGTCGGGCCAACTCCGTTCAAGGATGCCCATGCTTGGATGAAAAGCTGCAATCAATGCCAGAGGACAGGCAACATATCTCACAGACACGAGATGCCAATGACCATAATTCAAGAGGTGGAGGTTTTTGACATATGGGGGATCGACTTTATGGGGCCATTTGTCATCTCGTATGGTAACAAGTACATATTGGTAGAAGTTGATTATGTCTCCAAGTGGGTCGAAGTAGTGGCTCTCCCGACCAATGATGCTAAAGGGGTAACAGGCTTTCTGAAGAAGAACATTTTCACACGTTTTGGCACCCCATGAGCTATACTCAGTGATGGCGGAACACATTTCTGCAATAGAGCGTTCGCAAGGCTGTGGGAAAAGTATGGAGTTCGTCATAAGGTAACCACCCCGTACCACCCACAGTCGAGTGGGCAAGTTGAAGTGTCCAACAGGGAGATAAAAAGTGTCCTTACTAAAATAGTGAATGCAACAAGGACTGATTGGGCGAGGAAGATGGATGATGCATTGTGGGCGTACCGCACAGCCTTCAAAACTCCAATTGGTATGTCATCGTACAAGTTGGTGTTTGGAAAGGCATGCCACCTCCCGGTAGAGCTTGAGCATAAAGCACTTTGGGCATTGCGGCAGTTGAACTTGGACATGGAGACAGCAGGCACTAACAGATGTCACACCTCCTTTTTTACACACCTACCCCGAAGGATAATGTATAAGGGAGTTTTTCCATTTAAAGTGACATTATTCGAAATGGGATTATTTATTTATTTTTAGAGTCGCCACTTGGGAAAGGATTGGCTTTTGGTGTCCCAAGGCACCGATTTAATTTAAATCCCAAATCGAGGAAAAATTCGACTTCCCAATTGGAGTCTGCGAACCAGAAATTCTGAATAAGGAATTCTGTTGACCCGAGGGAAGGTGTTAGGCACCCCCGAATCCCGTGGTTCTAGCACGGTCGCTTAAATTATTATAATTGGCTATAATCTAGTTTTATACATGTTCAATCCTATAGTGCAATTTTTAAAATTATTTACCGTTTTTAATTTATTTTTACGAAAATGAACGCCGTTTAAGAGCGTGTTTTCAGATCACGTCACATGAAATGCACCCGGATCCTCAACACCTCTTATTCAACGTTTTAGGATTTGGATTTGGGTCGCATGAAATGCACACCCGACTTTAGGAAGGTAATTTTATTAAAAGACGCGCCTAAAGCGACTAACGTGTTATCAACTTTATGGGGGCCATGGAAATTCGCTAAACGGCACGCTCAATTTCTAAAATATTTTAATATAGTATTTAATGATGGCCCCGCAGTTTATATGTTTTGTTTGGCGAGGCTCGTCTCATTTAATTATTTTTTAAGGTCAATCTAAATCGAACTAGATTCTCTATTTGCATTGTGGTCTTTAAAGGGCTTGGCAATATGAAATCGGGTTTCCAAATTCAAGTCCGGATTCAAATAAAAGGATAAAACCTTTTAATTTAAAACCGCCACCTAACTTGAAGACCTAAATTTTATGTTGCAAATTGAATAACCATATTCCTAATGTGAACTTTGGGCCCAGGACTGTACAGTGATTGGGGATTTTGGCCCAAAACTACACTGTGAATTTGCCCAGTAGTCGAACCTCATCAATGCCCAATCGTGAAAATTATACAGGCCCAGGAGCAGCATTTAGTCCCATTCTGTCGTTTGATTAAGGAACTAGAGTCCAGTCTTAACGCCGATAGGACCGTAATTATCTCTGATTGTTCATTAGGCTTTCGACTTGTTTATTCACGCTTATTCTAAGGCAAATTCGTGACTACTGATTCAATTGCTGATTATATTCAGCAGTTGGATTGTCTAAAGAGTAATTACACAGGAGTCTATTAAAACTATAAAGGCTTATAAGTTCAGCACCTTACACATAGAACTAAGTCACGACAAACTTAGAGTTTACAAGCAATTCTAGGCTATTCACTTTGATTATAAAAAAAAACAGTCCCAGGCAGTCCGGATTATTACAACAGTGTTCATGTGAATACAACTTCAAAACAAATTTGATCAACATTAGCTAAATATACATCGCTAATATACTTCCAGTTGTAAATATACAAACAAAATCAGATGAACAAACGTGCCAAGGGGTAAACTCCATCTCATTTCACTTCCATTCCAAAGATTACATCAAGTAAGATTTAAAGCATGTACCTGGATTTGAATGAGCAAAGGAAGAGAGGTAAGTCACGCAGTATTAGGCAACAAGCAGCAGTAGAATTCAGCAGCTCGAAACAGATTCTCAATTCAAAAACAACAGCTTATAGCCCAGTGTAGAATCAACAGAAAACTAACACCACAAATGACTCACGATTTAGCTTTGAAGGTGATTTCTAAACCTTATCGAATAGCAAACAGACCAGGACAACTTGTTCGACTCCTAAGCTTATCAGAAATAAACTAGAAATCAGAACTGTGTAATGCAAAACTCGGAAATGGATCTGGAAATTAACTGCTGGAAACTTTTATGAAAAAATTTAGAGATCTCTGAACTTTTCAAGGAATTTTTTCCCAGGATCTCCAACCTTTCTGCACAAGGCAATGTAGGTGCCTTTTATAGGCAAAACCTAAAGTTACCTTCAGATTTTAGTTTTCTTTTTAGTCCCTCCCTCATTTAGTTTTTTTAGTCCCTCATTTTTAAGACTTATTACCCAAGTAACAACACTTATTTTATTAAAACTACACTAAAGTCTATTCTAGAAGGTCCTACACCTATTGCAATTCCTACACTACCCTTCCCCTATTTTTACAATTACTATTCCTAATAAAACTACCCTTTTCTATGCCCAGATTACCCTTTAATTGTACCATAATTACTGAACCATACCAAACTAAAACTAAACCTCAGAACTTGGTTATCACTGACTATGGTTAACTTAACATAGGCCTGGCAGTGTTCAACAGAACTAGACTTATTTTAAAATCCTGAATTAATCCATATTGGTTTCAATTAACGAACTATTTGGACAAATAACAATCAAACAAGAATCATATCAACACTCGAAAACAGGGGTCATGCTGAATCAGAATCAATTCTGAGAAGGCTAAGAGAAAATCAAAACTAAAGAACAAACAGAAAATCAGATATAGTCAATTCTACTACTACGTACTGGAAGAAATCAATAATACCTAAAAAAGTAAAGCAAAAACAGTAAAAGAGAGGTATAAGAAGAAAACTTACACGACTCTGCAATCGAACTCAATCGCCCTCGAACTTGATCCCCAAATGATGTTATTTGCCTATTCTTTGTCAAAAATAGGCAAATATCATCATGTAAGGATCAACTACTCAATGAAACCTCAAAACCCCCATCCGGAACCCTAGACCTAAGATTCGAGCAATTCCGGTTAGATTTGAGAAAAATTAGCTTGAGATTCGGGGATAGGAGGGTAAGGAGAGTCTAGGGTGTAATTTGGGCGGAATTTGGGGGGCGGCGCCGCCGTACACGGCGGAGGCGGCGTCTAGGTTTTCCTTTATTCGAAGAGTTAGAGGGGGATTTGAGAGAAACCATGCGTGGATTCGTAAAGAGGAGGTTGTGGGGAAGCAGGGGTGTATTTTTGGCGTTATTTGGGGCAACGCCGCCGGCGGAGGCGATTTCCGGCCGGCGGCGAGTGGCGGCGGACGGTGGCAAGGGGGTGGAGATACGGCGGGGCTGCGGTGTGACGATTTCCGGTGAGATATGAGGGTGGGGTGCGAGAGAGATGAATGAGGGGGTAGGGGGGGTGTGTTTTGGACATA